GGCCTAGAACTTGCAATCCTCCTGCCTCAGCCTCCCAGAGTGCTAGGATTATAGGTGAACATGACCACACCCAGCTATTTTCCCTTTTTTGTCTGTTTGAGACAGGGTTTCACTCTGCAGTTCAAGCTGGCCTTGAATTTACTTGTAGCCCAGGCTGACCTCGAGCTCCCAGCATCCTCCTGCCTCAGGATCCTGAGCACTGAGATTATAAGTTTGCACCACTGTGCCCAGCTTATTTCCCTTTTTTTTTTTTTTTTTTTTTGAAACAGGGTCTGGCTATGTAGTTCAGACTGGCCTCAAATTCACAGTGATCTTTCTGCCTCCGCCTTCCAAGTGCTGGGATTACAAGCGTGTGCCACCATGCCTGGTCCTTTCCTTCATTTTTTTTTTTTTTTTTTGGTACCAGGAATTGAACTCAGGACCTTGTGCTTGTCAAGCAAGGCACTGTGGTCCTGAGCTATATCCCTAGCCCTCCTTCCCTTCATTTCTGAAGCCTGTTTTTTCACACAGAATTCAACATTGGTAATTACATTCATTCATTTGACTAAAGATACTTTACTGTGTGTGGGCTTCCATTATTTCTCTTTTTTCCCCCCATTATTTCTGTTGATGGTTCAGCTATTGTTTTTATTTTTGCTCCTCAAATTGTGATTTTTTTTTTTGTCTTTTTGAGGCAGAGTTTCACTATGAAGTTCAGGCTGGTCTTTAACTCACTTGGTGCCACAGGCTGGCCTTGAACTCAGAGAGTTCCTCCTGCCTCAGCCTCCTGAGTGCTGGGATTACAGGTGTGCGCCCCCACACCCAGCTATTGATTTTTTTTTAAAGTCTTCTTATAAGATAATCTTTGGCTCCTCAAAAATCTGACTCTGAAGAGCAGAGTTTGGGGTAATTATGAATAGTGCTGCTATAAATTATTTCATATGCCTTTTAGGGAATGTATGTGTGCATTCCTGTTGGATATATACCCAAGGTGAAATTGCTCAGTCACAAGGCTTGCAGAGACTATTAATATTAACCATTGTCCTTCTCCCTCTGGCCAGACTGTCATCTCCATGGAGGAGCCCCAGGTAATCATGACTATAGAGGAAAAAGAAAACAGCCTGTTGCTAGACACAGGTGCAAGTCTCTCGGTCCTTCTTTTCAATCCTGGCCTTCCTTTTACCCATCACACCTCAGTGAAAGGAGTCACTGGTGAGGAGGTAATCTGCTATCTTTCACAACCCTTAGGCTATAACTACTTGTTAGATCTTTGTTGTGTATCTCTGTCTTCCTGAGAAACCACTTTGAAGATACCACCGTGTATTACAGCAGCCATTGATATTTTCCTACTAATCTGTCAATAACTCTGTAATGTTTGTATTGTTCCTATGCTATTTTGTAAATGGATGTCTGTTTATTACTATGTGTTTCCTACAACAACCATTGAGAATAGTCAATGATTATTCAATTGGTCACTCATGTATAGCTCTATTTATTTTCTTTAGAAACCACTTTGAAGATACCAAAGTATAATACAACAACCATCGATAATAACCTATCACGTTTGTCTGTAGCTCACTATTATTTGTCTATTTGTTTTCCTGAGAAACTATCTTGTAGATAACAATATGTAAAACAATAACCATTGATAATTTCCTACCACTTTGTCTGTAATTCGGTAAGCCCCCCTATTACTGTTATCCTTCTTTTATGCTTTAAAATAAAAAAATTAACCATTATTTTTATTAGCCATTATCTATTAGCCTTACATGTTATTTACTATAAACTGTCATTATCAGCATTAGCCTTTACTATTAGTTATTATTATTGTAATTGCTACCAGTTACCAATAAGGGCTTGGGGCTAGGATGGGGCGGATTCCTGAGGAACTGGAGAGGAAGTCTCTGAGGAGTGGGGCTTCCCCTGGCCAGGACAGTCCAGCCACTGGAGGCCCATGGCCTGTTATGTGGCCTGCTGTCCTGGGCTCTGTCCCAAGAGGAATGAAGGCCATTCATGCTGCAGACAGGCTCCCTGGGACAGCCCCAGGTAGTGGTCAGTGGCTCAGCACGGGACCGAGATGAGTCACTCAAGGTGCTCCCAGGCAGGGCTGCTCCTCCTACAGCCAGGTCACCCACTGTCTTCATCCAGCACCGTGCCCAGCCTCTGGGGTTGCCTCAGGCTGCTGCCAACAGGCCTTCCTGAACAACTGGTGGCTGAAATGCCAGGTCCCCCACTGGCTACACCAGACTGCACCACCAGACTACACCATAGAGAAAGACAGTCGCCCTCCTTCCATGTCCAAACATTTATTTCCAGGAAATGTTTGCATCTGCACGAGGAGGGACCTGCATGGGGTGTGCAGGGTTGCCAAAGTGACATCTGTCAGGGCTGAGTCACCAGAACCACAGAATAAGAACTGGGGATATGGTAGCCACTGTGAGGCCTGCGACCAGGCTGGGGGAAGATTTTGAGAACGACCCCCTGTGAGATGACAGGGGTGCTGGATGTGACGGGATCTTGGTTGGAGCCAGTCGTCGTCTCTGGTGCTGATGTGGGTGGATGCGGTGGCAGCCCCTGTCCAGCTGTTCCTCTGGGAGCACGTCTTCCAGTGGGCTTTGCCACTTGTTCTCCTCCCGAACCTAGAAGTGGCATTTGGTGGTCAGCAGCTCATGTGGAGCCCCGAGACACCCCTGCTCAGACCCCTGCACCACTCTCTTGCCCAGCCCAGCGTACCTGCTCCACTCGCCTGAAGACCCGCAGCAGGTTTCCTCGAAGGACACCTCGAAGCTCTTCCTCACTCCAGCCCCGACTCAGCAGCTCCTCTATCAGCATGGGGTACGTGGACACGTCCTCTAGCCCCTGAGGGAACCTGTGTGGCCACCAGCAGGTGGTTCTCTGAGTTGGCACCCTGATCCCAACTCAGAACCTCAGCCCTGTGTGTCCTAGTACATTACCCCAGGCCTGGTCAGAGGTGCACACTAGAGACCTGGAGACAGCAAGAGATTCGCCTCTGCTCTGCAGCCTTCAGAGGTGGCCCCCGAACCTCCTCGGATATTTGCCAAACGTCACTGAACTGCACTTTTTTTCTTTTTTTTTTTTTTGAGACAGGGTCTCCCTATGCAGTTCAGGCTGGCCTTGAACTCAAGGTGATCCTCCTGCCTCAGCCTCCTGACTGCTGAGATTACAGGAGTGTGCCACTACATCTAGCACTGAACTGCACTTTTAAGATCTGTACCTCGCTCTGAATGCACATTCCCTCCATCTTTAGAACTAGGCAGAGAAGATGGTCAGGCTACACCAGGCCTTGCCAACAGTCTGCTTGGAGGAAGTGGGTCTTCTGGGGCTGAGGTGGGGGCATGGACTGGGCAGATGAGTTATCTTGTGGCTTGGCCAAATATGGTGCCTCAGATCAGGGATACTGGGCTGAAGGCACACAGGAGATTCCAGGAAATAGACCCTGGGAGGGGGAGATGCTGAGTGGGTAAGGCCTAAAGGCCATGAGAACCATGGTGGGATGGGTGGTGACTGTTTTCAGGCAGCTCCAGATAAGCCACGAGGCAGTACTCACTCGCTGGTACCATCATAATCTCCGCCAATCCCGATGAATTCGGACCCGATCACTGCCTTGATGTGGTCGAAGTGATCTGTGGAGGACAGTAGTGTGGGGCTTCTGGGGCAGGGGTGCCCTGGATCTGGTCTCTGCTTGTACTTTGCATGCCAGTTCCTTCAGGACCTGTGTCCTATGTGGCCACCTGAAGTCCCTGAGGTTTGTCTTTAACTGATCCCCACTGGCTCTGGACTGGACCTCCAGTTTAGAGTGAGCCCATTTGGAAGGACAGCCACTGGGGCCATTTCCTCTCCAGATTCACCCTGCCTCAGTCCCCTTGGGAAGCCGGTGGGGCTCTTTCATGGCTGGGGAAGATGAAAGAGGGACAAAGAGTACAGTGACAGAGACTCCAGAGATCTACGGCGGAGGCAGGTAGCCCCTCAGGGGCACAGGGCTAGCATTGCGATCTGTGTCTGGCTCCCTTCCCTATGCCCATCAGATGCACAGCAGCGTGGACTCTATAGCCGTGCATAATAATGTAACAACATCAAGCAGCTGGGAACTGTCCATCATGGGATTTGTGGTCAGACCACCGGAGCTGTGCTGAGACCTCCCTCCCCCAGGCTTCAGGTCCAAATCAGAGCTGTTTAGTGAGTTGGAAGGCTTGGGGCAGGCTCACCTGCTACAGTGGACACATTGGCTAACAGGTTGCACTGCAGCACCCCTACAGACAAGGACACCATCACAACGCCGCCGTTCTTCTCCTGCAGGAAAAGTCAAATGAATGCTCATCTTGGCTCCCCGAACAACTGCGAGCCTGTCCACCCCCAGGGCCCGTGAGAGGAAGGTGTTCAGCCCTGATTTGCGCAGGCAGGAGACACTTCACTTCTCTGAGTTTGTGTGACAGGGGAGTCTCAGAATGGGCTTGGGTACAGGTGTCTTGGCTTTGGGTTTGAGGGGTAGAAAGTATTTCCCATCTAGAACTGCCTCCCCCATACCCACTGGGTTCAACAGTTCAAAGGCGGTGCACTGTGGGCTTGCAGGGCAGAAGCTCAGGTGTGAAACTCTTGCTTTAGGTTCCATGACTGGGCAGTTTCTCACCAGAAGCTGCAGGATGTCATCAGGAACATTCCGAGTGTTGTTGCATACACCCCGGGCAGCCGAGTGGGAGAAGATCACGGGTGCCTGTGACACTTCCAAGGCCCGCCGTGCCGCAGCATCAGAGACATGAGACAAGTCTACCATCATGCCCAGGCGATTCATTTCTGTCACCACCTTCTGCAGGGACAGTTAGGGAGAAGAGTGACAGGGATGCATTTGCACACTTCTGCAGGGACAGGTAGAGCATGAGCATTTTTGTGGGGTGGAGTGTGAAGCGGGGTCCTTACCTCCCCAAAACTGGTCAGCCCACTGACGTTGTTGTAGAAAGGATGTGTGCCCTTAGCTGAGCTCTCTGCCCTGCAGAATGGCCAGGAAGCTTGATGGTCAGTTCTGGCTGGTGGCCTTGCCTTGGCCACAAGGGCCTAGAGGTCCTATCAAGCCCTCCCTGCAGCCCACAGGGCAAAAGCAAAGTGAGCTGTGCCTCACAGAGGGAGGGCACTGCTGGGATCCGGTGTTGCCCTGTGAACTCCAGAATACCAGCCTTCCCATTCCAGGGTCAGTGCCAGATCCTAGAGTTAGAGCTTCTCTGGGCTTGTGGTGTGACCTTGGACAGATCCCTGCCCTGGTGGGGGGGGGGATCCACACCATCTGGACTTGCTCACCAGGGGGTGTTGCAGGTGTGGGTGAGTGTGAGGTAGCGCACTCCCAGCACATAGAAGGTTCGCAGAACGGAGAGGCTACTGTCCAGCGAGTGGCCACCCTCCACGCCAATGAGGCAGGCCAATTTCTGGGTGCTGTTCAGAGCTGGGGACAAGGAGGTTAGGTGATTACTTTCAGGAGCCAGAGTAGCTCAATCAAGTCCCTAACACCTCTCATCAATCCACTTACCTTCTGCTGAGGTCACCAGCTCCAGCTCAGAGTAGGAGGCACACATGCGGTGGATGAGGTCGATCTGCTCCAGGGTGAGGCGCACGGCATCCCGGCTCTGGGTCTGGCATGGGACGTAGGCCGACCAGAACTGGGGGGAAAGTCAGAACTGGGGGGAAACTGGCCTGGCAGAGGCTGCTTTGGAACTTCTGGGGCCTCCACAGCTGCCGCAGCCCCCAGAGGGCCTGGGGGCCGCGTGGCATGCGTTGCTTGTTCTGCAGTACTGTTCTGCGCCCCCCGAGCCAGCTCACAGCAGCCCTTGCTGCTCCAGCATCTTTCGGGGGCATTTTTATGGTAGGTGAGTCCCCTGTGGTTAACATGGGATCCCTAGGCCCCTTTTCCTTCCCAACATCCCTCAACAGCTGTGCTGTGACACCCTGCGTGTCCCTGAAGTACCTGAGCACCCACCAGGCCATCTCTAAGCCTGTCCAGGCTGGTGTGGCCATGGCTGAAATTGCGCAGGTTGACATTCTGTAGTGAATCCTGGTAAAACTGCCTCAGGACCAGGGGCAGGTCGTTGTGGCTGGAAGGATGTCAAGGCAGGGTTAAGGTCAAGGACAAACGAGTGGGCCTGTTAGGCTTCCAGGTCAGGCAGGACATATCCCTGCCCACCCGCCCCTGGACTATACTGAGATCCCCCGAGGCCTGGGCTGGGAGGGCTCGCACCAGCGAGGCGGCGCTGCAGCGGGGAAAGGTTGCTGCGAAGGAGCCCGCGTGCACGCCCCGCTGGGAGCCCCCTGCTGCCCGGAGACGCGCTCCACCCTCTTCGGTCCCCACGAGGCACCTACGCACCCGTCCACCAGCGGGAAGCCCCGCATCAGGGCCCGCGCGCGCTCTCGCAGCCCCGGGCCCCTGGGGGTGACCGGGGTGGTGTCAGAGCCAGGGGTGTCCGGTGTGGTCCCGGGGCTGGGGGCGCCCGGGGTGGTCTCAGAGCCAGGGGTGTCCGGTGTGGTCCCGGGGCTGGGGGCGCCCGGTGTGGCTTGGGTGCAGGTTGCCGGCTGTAGCAGCAGCGCTAGCAGGAACAGCCAACACAGCGGAGGCCGCCGGCGGAGCGCGCGGGCAGCGCCGAGGCCCGTGGGCTCCATGCCGTGCCGTGCCGAGTCGGAGAGCAGGGGTGACGGTCGTGAGAGCCTGAGAGGGGCAGAAGGCGGCAGTGGAGTCCCAACCCTCGATTCAAGCCACTCGGCGCAGGCCTGAGGAGAGGGTGACGGTATAGGGCCCCGTGAAGGCCCCAGGAGTGTCGCACAGTCACGCAACCGTCGCCAGGGGGCGCCATGGCCTTCCAGCCACTCCTCCCAAAGGGCGCCCCCTGCAGGCTGGGCGGGCTCCGTTCGCCTCTCCC